CCTCCTCACCACGACATTTACTCCATTGAGGACCTGAAGCAGTTGATCTACGACCTGAAGTGCTCCAGCCCCCGCTCTCGCGTCTCCGTCAAGCTCGTGTCCGAAGTCGGTGTTGGTATCGTTGCCTCAGGTGTCGCCAAGGCCAAGGCCGACCATATCCTGATCTCCGGTCACGACGGCGGTACCGGTGCCTCCCGCTGGACTGGTATCAAGTACGCCGGTCTCCCCTGGGAGCTCGGTCTTGCCGAGACCCACCAGACTCTGGTCCTGAACGATCTCCGTGGCCGTGTTGTTGTGCAGACTGACGGTCAGCTACGCACCGGTCGTGACGTCGCCATGGCCTGTTTGCTCGGTGCTGAGGAATGGGGCTTCGCCACCACTCCTCTCATCGCCATGGGCTGCATCTTCATGCGTAAGTGTCACCTCAATTCGTGTCCTGTTGGTATCGCTACCCAGGATCCCGAGCTCCGCAAGAAGTTCACCGGTACCCCTGAGCACGTGATCAACTTCTTCTACTACGTCGCCAACGAGCTCCGTGCCATCATGGCCAAGCTTGGTTTTCGTACCATCAACGAGATGGTTGGCCACGCTGAAGTTCTCAAGGTCCGCGACGACCTCCGTACCAACAAGACTGCCAACATCGACCTCTCTCTCCTTCTGACTCCTGCTCACAAGCTCCGCCCCGGCGTCGCGACCTTCAACGTACGCAAGCAGGACCACAAGCTCTACGTCCGCCTGGACAATAAGCTGATCTCCGAGGCTGAGTTGACTCTGGACAAGGGCTTGCCTTCCAGAATCGAGTGTGACATTGTCAACACCGATCGCGCCATGGGCACTTCGCTGTCCTACCACATCTCCAAGCGCTATGGTGAAGATGGTCTACCGCTAGACACTGTCCACGTCAACATCAAGGGTTCCGCTGGTCAGTCCTTCGGCGCTTTCCTTGCTCCTGGTGTTACTCTGGAGCTCGAGGGTGATGCCAATGACTACGTTGGCAAGGGCCTGTCTGGCGGTCGGCTGATCGTTTACCCTCCCCGCTCCGCCGTGTTCAAGGCCGAGGAGAACATCATTGTGGGCAACGTCTGCTTGTACGGTGCTACCAAGGGCACTTGCTTCTTCCGCGGTGTCGCTGCCGAGCGATTTGCTGTCCGTAACTCCGGTGCTACCGCTGTTGTTGAGGGTGTCGGTGACCACGGTTGCGAGTACATGACTGGCGGTCGTATCGTCATTCTGGGCAGCACCGGTCGCAACTTCGCTGCTGGCATGTCCGGCGGTATCGCCTACGTCCTCGATATTCACAAGGACTTCCTCTCGAAGCTCAACACCGAGATGGTTGAGGCCGAGGCCGTCGAGGAGCCCACTGAGATCGCCTACCTCCGTGGTCTCATTGAGGATCACCACCACTACACTGGTTCCGAGCTCGCCGCTCGCATCTTGTTGGACTTCAACCGGGCTCTCCCTCGCTTCGTGAAGGTCATGCCCGTTGACTACAAGCGCGTCCTGGCGGAGGAGGCCGCCAAGGCTGCCGAGGCCAAGCGTGCCGAGTACAACCTCCCCATCGTCTCGGGCGTCCACGCCAAGAAGGAGGAGAAGGCCGCCAAGCTCCAGGATATCGAGGAGACCATTGGCGACAGCGCCGCTGAGAAGAAGCGCGCTCTCGTCCTCGACAAGACCAAGGGTTTCATGAAGTACCAGCGCCGTGCCGAGAAGTACAGAAACCCCAAGACCCGTACAAAGGACTGGGCCGAGCTTTCGTCCCGTCTCGACGAGGATGAGCTCAAGTACCAGTCTGCTCGTTGCATGGACTGCGGTGTTCCTTTCTGCCAGTCCGAGACCGGTTGCCCCATCTCCAACATCATTCCTAAATGGAACGAATTAATTTTCCAGGCAAGCTCTTCTATCTAATAGCACAAGTCAGCGTGAGAAAAGCTAACCAGATAATCAGGGACAATGGCGTGACGCCCTCAACCGTCTGCTCATGACCAACAACTTCCCCGAGTTCACCGGTCGTGTGTGCCCTGCTCCTTGTGAGGGTGCTTGCGTACTCGGCATCAACGAAGACCCCGTTGGTATCAAGTCCATTGAGTGCGCCATCATAGATCGCGGCTTCGAGATGGGATGGATGGTCCCCACCCCTCCTGAGGTCCGTACTGGCAAGAAGGTCGCCGTCATCGGTTCCGGCCCTGCTGGTCTGGCTGCCGCCGACCAGCTCAACCGTGCCGGACACACCGTCACCGTGTACGAGCGTGCCGACCGCCCTGGCGGTCTGCTCATGTACGGCATCCCTAACATGAAGCTCGACAAGCGCATCGTCAAGCGCCGCACTGATTTCATGGCCGCCGAGGGCATCAACTTCAAGTGCGGCGTCGCCGTCGGCGAGGACATCCAGCTCATGGACCTCAAGGCCGAGAACGACGCCGTCGTCATCGCCACCGGTGCCACCGTCGCTCGTGACCTCCCCATCAAGGGCCGTGAGCTCGAGGGCATCCACTACGCCATGGAGTTCTTGCACAAGAACACCAAGTCGCTCCTCGACTCGGAGCTTGCGGATGGCGCCTACATCTCCGCCAAGGACAAGAACGTCATCGTCATCGGCGGTGGCGACACCGGCAACGACTGCATCGGTACCTCCGTCCGCCACGGCGCGAAATCGGTCATCAACTTTGAGCTTCTGCCCCAGCCCCCGCCAGAGCGTGCCCGTGACAACCCTTGGCCCCAGTGGCCCCGCATCTACCGTGTGGACTACGGCCACACCGAGGTCAAGCAGCACATGGGCAAGGACCCGCGTGAGTACTGCATTATGTCTGAGGAGTTCGTCGATGACGGCACCGGCAAGGTCAAGGGCATCAACACCATCCGCGTCGAGTGGACCCGCTCCGCCACCGGCGGCTGGGACATGAAGAAGATCGAGGGCTCGCAACAGTTCTTCCCTGCCGACCTCGTCCTCCTGTCCATGGGCTTCCTCGGCCCCGAGACCCGCCTCTTTGGTGATGACATTGAGAAGGACGCTCGCAAGAACGTCAAGACCGCGCCGGGCAAGTACAGCACCAGCGTTCCTGGTATTTTTGCTGCTGGTGACTGCCGCCGTGGCCAGTCGCTTATCGTTTGGTAAGATCAACCGTCCCCGAACCCACCTCACTTGATCTGATCAAAAGCTGACATCTTTCTTTATCAGGGGTATCAACGAAGGCAGACAGGCCGCTCGCGAGATCGACCTGTTCCTCGAGCAGTGCACCAGCCTGCCCGTCACCGGTGGTATCGTCAAGCGGACCGCCCAGGAGATCTTCAAACAGATCCAGCCCGTCCAGGCCTAACTTTCGTCGTCGTCGTCGTCGTCGTTGTTCACTCTTAACTCCCGCCGTCACTCAGAGTCGGCATGGCGGTATTCAGGGGTGAATACGCTGGACGCCGGTGACGGCTAGCCCAGATAGGTACAGGATTTGGGGGGAGGAGGAGAGACAAAGGCCGGAGAAAAAAGGGGCGCGACAAGAAGAAAAAGAAGGTATAGGGCAACATTATTTTGGAATTCGGGAAATACCCACCAGGCCGCCCGCGAGATCGACCTGTTCCTCGAGCAGTGCACTAGCCTGCCCGTCACCGGTGGTATCATCAAGCGGACCGCCCAGGAGATCTTCAAACAGATCCAGCCTGCCCGTCACCGGTGGAATCGTTAAGCGGACCGCCCAGGAGATCTTCAAACAGATCCAGCCTGCCCGTCACCGGTGGAACCGTCAAGCGGACCGCCCAGGAGATCTTCAAACAGCTACAGCCCGTCCAGGCCTAACTTTCGTCATCGTCGTCGTCGTCGTCGTCACCCTCTTAACTCTCGCCGTTCCACAGAATCAGCATGGCGGTATTCAGGGGTGAATAAAAAAAAGGTATAGGCCAACATCATTTTGGAATTCGGGAAATACCCACACTTTGTTACACAAAACGGTGTCTCTTGTGATACCCTCAAAATCCTGCTTCAGAGCGAAATCATCTTTCTGTTTTATTAGGGGGGGGGGGGGGCTGTTTTTTGGCTTAGGTTATTGTCAGAGTACAAGTGGCATTTTATGCCTTTTATGAATTAATTTTCTGTATATATGACAATGACAGCGTATGCATATTAAACATCCAAACGGCTATAAAAAGGGGCTGGTGGTCATCGTCTTCGTCATCGTCTTCGTCTTCGTCGTCGTCGCCGTCGTCGTCGCCCTCTCAACCCCCGCCGTCACTCAGAGTCAGCATGGCGGTATTCAGGGGCGAATACGTCGGACGCCGGTGATGGCTAGCCCAGATAGATACAGGGTTGAAGCATCCAGATGGGGGACTTCCAGCGTCAGGATACCTACCATGCGTGGCATCGTCAATTATCATCTTGAGGTCGACATCTCCATCGCCTGTCAGGATGTTTAGCCCTCAAGGCACCATATCAATAACGAACGCGTCACTTTACATCAATGAATACGTACGGAACCCTGAATGAACCAGTGTTGACATTATTCCACGGTCTACAACGTCTGACTCTATGTAAAAAGGATGGGGGGGAAAAGACGCACCCCCTCGCTACATATATATACTTGATACAACCTCCTCTTCAGTGCCCAAGACCTAACCCGCCCGCCTCTCTTGGCCAAGCTACGTGTAATGAAGACTCCTTCGCGGGACTCCAACGAATGAAAACAACAAAGGGGACTGACCAATGGGGGGGAAAAAATGAAGTGACAAACAGATGCCCAGTGACATGGTGCACTGGATCCATAAAGATTTTCTTTCCGTGCCGGCGCTGCGAAACAATCATGTCCATAACCCTTGAACCAAGGCGGCGCGGTACTCCTTGACCATGCCCGCCTTCTCCTTAACCCCCGCGCAGTTGCTGCATATAGGGGACGAACACTGTTCCGCATGTTCCCCTTAGATACCAACTCCATTTCTCCCCTGTAGATCCGAAAAAGCGAGCAAGATGTGGCGTGTGCCCAAGTGCGTCAAGTGTTTTGTCTGAAGAAAATCGAACCGATCTAAAGGACCTCAACCACACGGTCCTGGACGTCCCTTACAATGCCCGGGACCTGGTCCACTCTGGCAACAGACCGAAGCACGGACCACGCCATGGCAAAGTAATGAGGAAAACGGCTGTACAACATAGCAGCCAGTATACATGTGAGAAGGGGGATCTGAGAGGCGTTAGTCTGTGAAAATCAGCAGAGTGTGGAGGAAAAAGGCTTACCCAAATGAACCACAGGTTCTTGTCGCTGCGCATCCCCTTGAACTTGGCCTCGTGGGCTCGTAAGAAGTCTTGTTGTTGCTCCTTAGTGATGGCGCTCTTGCGTCCAATTCGAAGTACACTCGGAACCGGGGCCGTGCTTGAGGATGCCTCCGCAGTCTCGGTGGTCTGGGTGTCGTAGAGCGCGGCACATTTCATGTCCGCGGCAGCTTCGGCAGCAGCCCCAACGGCAGAGGCTTGCTTCTTGTCAAGTTCGTCCTGGGGGAAGATCTCGTCGTAAGCCGGCGGCGGAGCCGAATTATTATTGACATTCCTAAAAGACGACGACAGATCCCACCACTTGCCGTCCATCTGTCTGGGAGTCTCATCGCCTGCTGAGCCCGGTCGCGAGCCGGACATACCTGGCATGAGCGAGGTCACTCTGCCCATGAGGGGGTTTTGCTGGAGGTAGGCGTGGTAGTCGGGAAGCATCGGCATTCTGGGCAAAGCGGGCATCTGAGGAAGGTTGGAAAAGTGCAATGCCATCGCTTGCTGAATCTGCTGAATCTGAGTAGATAATTGGTCCCTGACGGCAGAAGCGATGGCAGTGGTGGGCGAGGCAAGCCCCGGTTGCACTTCATCCTGGATTCGTGAAAGCAGCTGTCTGTCCTGGCACGGCGTGAACGTATGGTTGCTCGACCGGCGACGCATATCGAGCCAAGAGTCTTCCTCTTCTTGTTCATCGTCCTCGTAGTCTCCAGACGAGTACTCGGGGCTCTCCTCGCCGTCGTCTGCCGACTCTTCACTGGACATGCCCAAGGGATCCCAGAGTGACCTCAGCGACGCCGCACTGCTAGCCCTGCTGTGCAGAGAGCCGCCGCTCCGAGAACGGATATGACGCTCGCAGCGGCGGATATGCCCGATGACCTTGCGTGACCGAGCAACGTCGGCTGGGCGAAGTCCCGAAAGGCTTCGAATCGTGGGATCGGCACCCGCCTGCATCAACCTTCGCACGATGGACTCGTGGTCGTTCATTGCCGCCAAGTGCATGGGGGTAAAGCCACCCTTGTCGCGCAAATCCGGGTTGGCACCACGGGCCAGAAGACCAGCAACAAATCGATGATATCCCAAGGCGCAGCCCATGTGCAACATGGTCTGGCCCGTAGACCGTCTCAAATCAAGCCGGGACATTCTGGGGTTGTCGTCGAGATCGATCAGCTCCAAGCACTTGAGCAGTTGCGACTCCGTGCTCATGGTGAACGTGCTGCCGCCAAAGCCAGGATTGCCTGTTGGGCCAGATCCCCAGCTGGAGTCTCCCTGACCAATGATGCGTTGGGCAAGTTCCTTGACATCAACCATCTGACCAGACATTTTGTGGCCCAGAATCGAGAGTGCCGTGCGGATCAGCTTCTCTTCGTCATCATCCACATACTTGAACATCTGGTTCTGTTTCGAGAGCGCGGGGAACGGTGGTCCAGCTTGCGTCTGACTTTGTTTGAAGGTGACTAGGACAGCACCAGAGACTGGTGATGGCGGTAGCAGGCAGACTAGAGAAGACTCGCCCCAGAACGTGGTCGTGGTAGCCTTTTGATCGCCGAACAGCACCTCCAGCCCCTGGTAGAAGCTAGCGCCGAGGATCGTAACCTCGATACCACCGGATTTCGGACCTTCGTTGGGGATGATCTTGTGAATCGTCGGCTGCGGCCGAGCCGGGGCAACAGCGTTTGTCGGCATATAGGACATCGTATTGAACTGGTTTTGCGATACCGCCGCGTTCACGCCGTTCCGCAATCCGTTGGGGCTCGTGGCGCGACTCTGGTGTGCCGAGGCTGGCGCCGAGAACATTGGCATCGCGACGTTTTCCATGCTAGCGGAGCGGTTGGCGTTGGTGAACATTGTCTGGTCGTTGCTGTTGGGGGTAGGGGGGCCGGTAGCATATGCTTGAGGCATGGGTGGCGCGGCACTATTCTGGACAAACACAGTCTCGGGAGGAGTCTGGAAATTGGTGGGATTGGGTGTGAATGGCGACGTTGAAGCGGAGGCAGGGGCTGGCACCGGATTTCCGGGCATCTGAGTAGGCGGCGGCGTGGTGTCCAGGCGGGTCATTGCCATTCCGATCGGTACCCGTGATCCAGTGCTGGCCTTGCGCTTCTTCGTCTGCGGCCCGCCGTGTGCGTTGGGGGATTGTGGCCGGGATAGTGACCGAGGCGTCGTGGTCGAGGGGGCGGCAGCCGGCGGTTTGGCGGTCGGGTTCGGGGCGGTGAACTGAGGGGCGGAGTTGCGGTGCATGTTCTGGAGATCGGAGCTTGAATGAGAAAGCCGGAATGGTGCACCGCCCGAGCTGAGCGGGCTGGTTTCCATTGGAGCGTTCAGCATGGGTACGAGGTTGGTGCTGTCGGAAGCTTGCGTCGCGGGGGGGTTGAGCTGCTGGGGAATCGGATGCGTCTTGTGGTCGTCGGTGATCATGATGGACTGGGACATCTCCTGCGCAACAACCCGGTCTTGCCAGTCCTTGATGGTGAAGATGACTTGAAAACCCAACTTCTCGGCGTGATGCCGGCAGTAGCAGGCGATTCGCATGGGGGCATCGACTTGCATAGCACCGGGGGGAGCTACCGGCTCCGGCCGACCAGTTACCGTCGAGTCGGACACGACACCGTTGGGGGTCTGCCATTCTTTGACCTCTTGTGTGTTGAAAACAATGACGCGTCTCGTCTCGTCCCGGTTCCACATCTCCTCCTCCTCGACCTTCTTGATCTTCTTCCTCGCAGCCCGCTTACGCTCGCGAGTGATGCAGCCGGCACAGATGCGCACCTCGCCCCCGTTCTGCGGCTTGTTCTCTTCATCGTCCTCATCGCTAACGGACCGGGAGTTCATGACAGGACTATGAGTGGCGGCTGCGGCGCGCTGGAAGGCCTTGCGCTTGTTTTCCTCGTTTTGCATTGCACTAGTGCAGACTAGCATGGTGTACAGTTCCAACATGTCGGGAGTCCGTTCGGCTGGTGGCTTCGCTAGCAGCTTGGGCTTGGAGATGGTGTGTACCGGGAGGTGCAGGCGCTTGATACCAGGAGGCAGCGGGAAGAGAGTCATCTTGATGGGAATCTGCGTTTCGACTCGCGACTTGGACGGTGTGGGATGAATCGTCAACCGGCAGCCACGACTGAGGAAATCGAAATTCGGCTGGGTAAACATGGGCATCTGTTGGGGCATCGAGACCGGAAGACCGTCGTGTGCGTGGTATTGGGGCTGCATGGACATATTGGCAACCATCTGGTGCGCTGCAGGATCCAGCTTGCCTGGCCAGAAGCCGTTCGGGTTCATAGCACCCATGGCTGCGGCGTTTGAGAAGTCGGGCGCGCCTGGCGACGGCGAGCTGTTGAAAAAGGCCGACGGAGATGCCTCGTGGCTGGTAATCATGTTCTGGGACATTGGAGAGCATTCCCTCGAATTGGTCATCTTGAGACCATTCATAGGCTGTGATATAGAGTATTGCTGGGGCGAGTCAGTCGTTTTTCACATCGTGGCGCCAAGGGGCGGGGGGAAGGGGGACTTACCGAGTTTCGCTTGCCGTGACTTGCGTGTCTGGTATTGCTCGGGGCGATGGTCTTTTGGGGTGCATTCGCGTGGATGGTGGGCATCTCTGGCGACTCCATGCTCATGGCGCCGGCGGCGTTGGGACTGCTCGAGGCACTCTCAAAGTCGAACGACTCTTCCATGAACTTGTCGTCATTGAAATCGAGGCCGTCGGGCAGGGTGGCGTCGCCGTTTCCGCCGAAGAGGAAGGCATTTTCTTCTGGACGGCCGCCAAAGAGGGTAGGGTTCCAGTCGGACTTGATATCGGCTCCATCTGTCATCATTACGTCGCCCGCCGTCAAGGCCGTTTTCCCAGAGGCGGAGCTGCCGGTCCTTTTCGAGGAGGCAGAGTCGGAGGAAGAATCGCGGAAGGAGTCGACAAGGGAGTCGGGTGAGCCGGCGGCGACGGTGCCGGTGGGCAATAGGGTGGTGGTCTGGGACTCGAGCGACTTTGCTTCGTGGAGGGACTGGGGGAATTCGGAAAGGGCGAGGGTATCGTGGGCGGAAAGATCGAAGTTTGTTGGCAAAGGACTCGAGTCACCAAAGTGGTTGTCTTCGTATTCCAAGAACTCGTTGAACTCGCCGGCGGGGGACATTCCCGGAGCGGCTGGCATAGGGCTGGCACCGATGGCGGCACCAGCAGTCGTCATACCTTGGCCAGCGACAGTGATGAAGAATTGTGCAGTTGTAGATGCGAGGCCGACAACGACAAGGACGGCAACGGAGGACACGGAGATGGCGACGAAAAGGGAGGTGAAAGCTCGGTCTGGGGATGTTGTGGGGAAAAGGGCGTCTCGTGGTAAAGTGGTGTAGCCCAGGCGGTGGAGTGGGGGCCCACAGTCCAAGTCCAGTATCCCTCTAATGCGAGTCCGACCCGGTTTGGGGGAGTCCAAGTTAGGAGGGTTCGACTGAGAGTGAAAGAGAGTGGTGTCGCCGGGCCTGTCTGGGCAGCGCGGATACACGGTACAACAGGGTTTGCTGACGAGCGGCCGTCGGGGCAATTGGGCAGTGAGGGAGGTTGAGAGTCGTAGCTACAAGGCCCTTGCAAATCTTTCTGTCCGTACAGTGCGGAGCGGAGCTTGGTGCGTAACAGGTGGGGTCCTAATAGTACATGGTAGTGCCGGGGAACGCAAATGTCTCTTGGTTTTCTTGTAACACACGCAGAGTTCAAAGCACAGAGTACTCGTTGTTCCTTTCGGTGTGTTTTCCTTTTCTTGTTTTCTTTCACTTTGTTCTTTTCGTTCTTGGTGCTGTTATTTTTGTTGGTATTGGAGGAGAAGGAGAAGGAGAAGGAGAAGGAGAAGGAGGAGGAGGAGGAGGAGGAGGAGGAGGAGGAGGAGGAGGGGAAGGAAGATGTTGTTTTTCCCCCCCTCGGCTTCTTCGTCGGGGGTTTATTTTTGTTTTTGTTTTTTTATTTTCTCTTTCTCCCCCCCTTCCTTTTTTTTTTCTCGGTCTGGGAGGGGAGTGACAATATCGGGTTAGGACGTGTTGGATTAGGATGAGCGGAGGGAGAATAACGTAAAATAAAACAAAGCCCTTGGCGGGAATTGTATGTCGAAATTCCGGGGCCTGAGTACCTAGGGTACCGGTAGACGTGGTGAGCGTGTACGTGCGGTGCGCTGCGGGCAGCACCGTTCTACCCAGTCGAGTCGAGTCGAGGCGAGGCGGTAACAATGTCTCAAAAGCGGCCAGTCCCTTGGAAAGCGGTGACTCGAAATTGGGCTGGGCAACTAAACAGGGGATATGTGAGGGCGATGCAAACCGGGACAGATGAAGCCAATCAATCTAGCCGACGTCCCATCGTTCCAGCTTTTGCGTCCAGACCGACTGAGGCGTGGCGATCGTTGAGAGGAAAGGCAAGCAAGGCAGCCAACTTCGAAGAGAAGGGGGACGGACGGACAGACGGGTGGTCGAGTATTGATGATAAGAGACGATGGCGGTTGACGACCGCTGTTGTGTCACCCTGACGAACGGACGCGCTTTTACTCCCACCCCCGGTAACCGGAGGCTGGGTAGAATTTCCGAGGCAGCAAGCCTCACTAGTTAATTACCTACAGTGTGTGTTTTCTACAGAGAATGATGTCGGGAGGCGAGCACCGAGCCGCAGAGAGCGGTGGCGGCGGTACTTCATCATACAATAGAGAGACCAGGCACAGACGTACCGTATCCTCTCTGCAGATTCGCCTACCGCTAATTCTCAGGCTAACGGCAAGGAGTATCGCGGCCACCAAATAGGGGTTGGCGTGCTGGCAGAAACAGGGATCTGGTGGTGGCAAAAGCAGGGGTTAGTCATGTACATTAGCAGCAAGTTAGGTAGCAAGGGCTAGTAAAAAACCTTATAAGTGGCATTAGATTTCCTCCCTCTCTTCCTCCTACCTACCTACAGCTCTAGATTTCCTATAGCCTTATTAAACTATTTCTAATAGGTTACTAGATGTCTTTAGCTAGAGATATATACTCTTTACTGTTGTTATTTATATTAACGTTAAGTATCTCTTCTTAGGTTATTTTCTTCTTAATGTAGGCGTTATAATTAAAGTTATCTTAACTATCCTATAATATCTTCTTATTTAGTATATCCTTAATCTAAATCTTGTTAATGTTACTTTTATCTAGGTTACTACTAATCCTATACTAAAGAAAAGATTACTAGACTATCTTGCCTCTTTTAGCTAGGTAATAGGTTACTGTTGTAATAGTATAGGTAACTATAATATATTTTATTAATATAGACTACTTAATAGGTATAGGTTAAATAGGTAGGCTAAGCTAACTAGTAGTAGCTTACTTTATTTACTATATATACTTATTAGTTACCTTAAATAACTACTACTTAAAGGGCTTATTAATAGTAGTATCTAGAGGTTAAAGAAGAGAGGTTATACCTAGTAGTATAAGGCTAGGCGTTATATAGTTAAATTAAAGTTATAATAGTATAGTAGGCGTCTTATAAAAGGTAGTAATATCTATAACTAAGAGGTATTCTTGCTTTACTATAAAGGGAAAAAATTCTTCTGTTAGCTACTACCTAAGAAAATATTTATTATTATAAGCTATATTATTATATTTAACTATTACCTCTTTACTATATAAGTTACCTTTATATACCTCTAGTTAGCTACTAAGGCTAGTAGGCTTACTATAAAAAATAAGCTTTAGTAGTAGCTATTAGACCTTATTAGTAAAGATATAGAGGATAAGAGTAGCTTACTGCTTACTTTAGCTACTGTAGTTACTTTTACTAGCTACTGTATAGGACCCCTTGGCTGCCTATGTAGATCTATTAAGGTATTTAAAAGGTATAGGGGTCTTATTAAAGTTAATAATATAGTTAGGTAAAAAACAGAGGCTACTAATAGGCAGCTGCTGCTAGGCTAGTAATAGCTAGCTAATATATTAGTTAAAGTAGAGGAAGCTAGTAATAACTATAAGGTATTTAGTAGGCAGCTTTAAGGCTTACTTTATAAGCTAGTAGTGTAAAATACTCTATTATATAAAGAAGCTACTAAACTAGCTAGTAGAGAATTAGAAGAGGGAGGTGTACATAGGAAGGTTACTAGTAATAATAGTGTTAGGATAGTTAGTAGTAAAAAGGGCTTAGGCCTCTTACTTAAACTATCTAGTAGTAATAACCTTATTATAGGCTTATTATTACTAGAAGTGCCTATAAAGATTAGCTTCTATTTCTAGCTACTATAGTTAATAGTGTACTACTAGGCTAATAATAGTATCTTAGTGCTTATACTAATATACTATTATTGTACAAGGTATCTTAAAGTAGTTAGTAGCCTCTTTAAATAATAAGTAATAAAGCCTATTAGTAAGGTTAAGAGGAGTATTACTAGCCTATTAATAGGTATAAGAAGGATTAGATAGGTAATAGTAGTACTTAAGGTATATTAGTACCTTAACTTGCTTTTAGTTACTATATAACCTTTTAACCTACTAGACTAATGTAGTTACTGTATATTATTGCTTTATAATAGGCGTAGGGGTTTTACCTATTTTCTTATGTAATAGTAGTGTATTTAGGTTAACTTTGCCTAGTGGTAGGCGGTTAGGCATTATAAATATTATGGTAGGTGGGTTAGTAGGTAGGTTAGTAGGTAGGTTAGTGGGTAGGTTGGTGGGCAAGTGGGTTAGAAAGTTATAGACGGCTGGCTGGCCTGTAGGTAGGTGGGTGGGAGGGTTTGACCTTGACCGCTTTCCTAAATAGGCTTAGCTAATTGGCAGCCAGTGATACTCCTTGCCGTTAGCCTGAGAATTAGCGGTAGGCGAATCTGCAGAGAGGATACGGTAGTAGAAACGACAAAAAAAGAACGACTGATGGTGAAATGGGACAAATGTGGATCGATGTTTGTGTGTGTGTGTGTGTGTGTGTGTGTGTGTGTGTGTGTGTGTGTGTGTGTGTGTGTGAGGCCTTGTTTCTGTGTGTCCGAGTTGCAGTAGTCAAAGGTACTTCGGGTCGTTGGAACCAAGCTTAGGAACTGCGGCACGTACGTACGGTCTTGGCTCTTTGGAGTTTGGATCGATGGATGGGTGGACGAGATACCTAGACCTGACGCAATCTGAGGCAAAGCGGTATGCTCCGGATACTGCAGGAGGCATTCCGTTCAATCAATCTCCAAACCGAACGAGAGGAGTGGACGACAACGAGGCCGGTCTGAGGCTTGTTCGCCGTCTACACCACCTAGCCAGGGTCGTCGTCCCGTTAGTTCCCTCGACATGGACGTGGAGAGGGTCATGTATCCCTGCCTTACCCTGAGTTGAAGTCATAACTGGCGTTGTGGCGTCAGATGTCCAGTGCTCAAGCTTCCCTTTTGGGCATGATACTCAGCAAGGTAGACGCACCTTGAGCACGCTAGACTTATCGACTCTGACTGGCGTGATGGAAGCTGGAACTGACTGACGCCCTGTGCTCCTCCCGCGCTTGCAGCCGTGGGTCACGTTTGCTAGTCGAGAGTCCATGCCCTCGAGGCGGCGTCAATCCGCCTACACTAACACCTGCCCACACTAACAGGCGGATGAATGTATGCGTGTTTCTGTTTCTCTGCCTTCTGCGTTGAATTTGGATACCGGCGCTCAAAATCGGTCAGTGCCGCCGGCATCCACCCTCCGCGCGAGAGCAGGTACGGTGTGTACGAATAGTAGGTATACACTACATTACATAGGTACCTACGACCTTCGGAGGGACCGCCTTGGACACGTACAATGTACATCGTATTCGTCTTCAGGAATGCATACTTACCTATCTATCTACTTAGGTAGGTAGGTAGGTAAGTAAGCAGGTACCTGGATACCTGCCTTTGGCCAGATCAGGGGACTTTTGACAGGATAGGTAGCAAAATCTCACTTCTTGTTCATGTCTTTTTTTTTTCTTTTTCTTTACTTCCTTTCTCGTTCTGCCTCTCCCACCCCTGCCTTGTGCTACTCGGCCTTTTCCTACATTACACGTACACTACGTGCCTTCTGCCTGCATTTGCTTCTGCAAAGATCCACCGCCCGAGTGGATAGAAAATAACAGAGTGCAATTACTGGAAAGGCATGTTGAGATTACAGGTATCCGCCGGCAAGGCACCGTACCTATTGGCTTGCCGCTCACGGGACGAAAGGGTACGTACCGCGCGCGAGTGGCACCGTACGTCGGCGACGGAACGCTCACGCGAAAGCACAGTGTGGCACCTGCGCCACGCGCTGCTAAGATGGTCCACCCGGTGCGCTCGCTTAATTCAACTTGAGCCACTCAAAAAACTCTGGCCAATAGGAGCCGTGCACAGTGTGAGGACTTTGCCCCGCCTCCCCCCCAGAGTCCAGAGTAATAATAGCCAAATCAAGACATTTCTCACTCACAACCCACATCGTCCATCCCTTCGTTGCCGCTGCCACTGCTGCTGCTAGATGTCGACGACTGACCGATAAGCAGGCAGGCAGGCGAAAAAGGTCCACACCAATCACACTCGACTTGTACCACACACATACACACACCAGCAGGGCACCGAAACTAAAACACGCGTCCAGTGGCCTCTCTCGGATACGGAGACCTGATTAATTGTGGTAATCGCCCTGCGAGATGATGCCCTCTGTCTATCTTTATTTGTTTCTCTCTCGGCGCCCTAGGTCCGCACCAGTCCTACTTCGCTAGCCTCGAACCCACTTCAGCCCAGAGAGCACCACGCATTCCTCGGATCGCCTCCCCTCATTCCACTGTTTCCCATGTCAGTAGCCTAGGCCCCAAGGGGGCCCTAAGTTCCTTTGACCCTGTTGGCTCAGTCAGTCAAGGATGCAACCCAGTGATGCAGACTTGCAGTGGCTGTCACTGCAACTCTCCCTGCCCCCTCTTCAACAACTAACGTCAGTCCTCCTCATCTTGCAGCTTTCAGCTTGATGCTAAGGCAGAGCCTCCTTGGCCTCCTCTCAAGTCCGGATACCATAATCTCAATCTTGTTCCTACGCGCTCTCGCCGACTGGCCCCCTCACCTTCTCCACCAGTACGCGTCTGGCCAAGCCTCGTGACACGCAACGGACGGCAACTCCTGGGAGACTCCCTTCTTGTTTGCCGCAATGCCAACACTTGTTTGGCACCGTGGCGAGACAAATGTCTGCTCGCCCGCCCATGGGACGGGAACGACAGGATTTGGCCCCTTCTATTCTTTAGGGTTCGAGCTGCGCCGAATTAACCCGGTGCCGCGGGAAACTAACTCTCCCACGGGCTCATGTCATCGACCTTAACTTGCGCGCCGGCTCGTCTTAGGCATCAGCGCTTACACAGATGCTACACTATGGCCAAACATGCGCCGACCGCCATGCCTTTTCCCCAAAGGTTACGTCCTAGGCTCCTTCCCGGTCAACCTAACGTATCAACTTTGAGGCCGAGCGGCACTTTGGCACACCAATTGATTGCCTTTGCTATGCAGCAATCCCGCCCGCCTCCCTCAACAACAGATGATGCAACCTTGCGGCGTCTCCTGAACTCAACTTCGGCCGGTCCCTTCCAGCCCAGGAAATCATCGGCCGTCCAGAAAACCGACCGACGTTTCTTTGTCCATCCAAGACAATCTCCTCAACGTACCTCCGGCCGGGAGACGCCCCTTGTCTATTGGGCCGCCTGTTATCTATCCATCGTTTCTTTTGAAGTTTATATGCAAGACAACGAATATCTGCAACATAAGCCATTGCAACTGCTACCCTACACTAGACGTAAGCCATCCTGGCCACCGTTGCCCACACTTGCAGACACGACGCAAGACCCGGCGAAAGGCGGGTTGACAAGCTGTAAGCCCGCAGCACTGCTTGCATCCGATGTCAAATCGCCGGCCCTCTGATAGGCTGCCGCTCCTCCCAGCTTCAGGAACGGGGGACCTAGGTAGTGGTGGATGCAACCCTTGCCACAGACGGTTGTCCAAATCTGCGCCAACAGCATCACTACTATCTCCCAGCTGAGCAATTCAACAAGCCGATCAACTCCCCTCTCGCCGCGTCGAGGGTCTCGCCTAGCCCGGCTTCAAGCCCGGTTGCTGTCTGAGCGGGTTGACCACCAGCTTTGCCAGCCTCCTAGGATATCGCAGGATGCAATGCAGCACACACTCTTCAGCCCCGACGTCGCTCCGAAGCTCGCGCAAACGCCTCGACACCATAACCTACATTAGCCTTTGCAGGCGCGTGTCACCCACTTTGTCCGTTCGGGTACGCCATAGACCGGAGACTGCGCACTAAAAACGGGGGTTGCACAAACCATCCTTATGTAAATCCTGACGCCATCTCAGGGGGGCTTGCATAAAGCTGTTTATCCATCTGACCTTGATCGAAACGCCCTAGGCTCGTCACCTGGGCTCTCGAGGCGGCGGTAACCTAGTCTGTAACCTTCGACCAAGAACACTCACCGACGAGCGGCATCCCGTTATTACTAGACGGTTCCCTGTGGAAACCTGACACGGTGCTCATCACATTCACTCGTCAAGGTGGCCGCGAATCAGCATCGAATGGCGAGTTATTCAACGAAGCCTCTAATTATTTCGGCTATCCTATCATTTTGTGGACAGTGTCCACACTATATACCTCACCAGGGTTGCAAGTGCAGACGACTTGCACGCACGGCGTTGCTCTACAGTTAGTCACCATGTCATTCTCTCGGTTCTGCCACCCGCGCCGTGGGTGTCTAACACTCAGGTCGAAATGCTTTTGCAGAATTACTTCTGCTTCAGTAATCACCGAGGTGTGCGTGTCTCATCTGGAAACCGGATTGTGCGGTTCGGGAGCTCTGGTGGCACTGGCGCCTCGTGTTGGCCAGCCGCCTTTGTCTGAGTACCATCTCCGTCCTCGGGGCCCAAACGTTGTTCCGGTTGGCCGGGCCGCCCTAGCTCAGGGGCAGACGCGCCTGGTCCTTCTGCATCCGCCGTATTCTGGGGGATAATTGAACCGCCGATTCTATAGATCGGCCGGCTTCTCTCGTTCCCCGACGGTGACTGAGCCCGAGACTCGGCATCATAGGCTCTCTGCCCCTCGAGCCCAAGCGATCTCGACCGGCCGAACGGAAAGACGACCCTACCCCGGATCCGGAACGGCTGAGTGTTGTCTTCGCCAGCACCGCTCATGAAGGATACGCCCCTGGACAGCGTGCGAGGCGCGTAGTAGCCGAGCTTGCCAAGTGGAATGCTCAGGCCGTGAACCACCTAAACGAACGATTATTTCGGGCCTCGATTTGTTACGTTGTGCGAGACTTACTATACTGCAGACAGCAAGAAACCAGACAATGACCCGGACGGCATCCGCCATGTGAGCAACATCTGCGCGGGCCTCATCGCCCTCGTTTAGCGCGTCTAAAAACTCGACGGTCACGTAAAGATAAAAGATGGCTGATACTCCAATGGGACCAAAAAAGCCCACAAAGATTGCCTGCTTTGCCTGCTCGATCTGGGGTATCCAGCGGTGTATCGCGAATACGAACGGCAAGCGCCGAAGTAGCAGCACCAGTATTCCCAATGCAATGAGGCGGTATATCGGGATCACGTCGTTGTGGGCAAACTCGTTCCATGGAATGACGGCGCCGTACCAGATGAAGATGGTTACGTTTAGCAACATGTCGATGGTGGGCTGAAAGGAGTCATCCTCCGTCTCCGAACGGAACCAGTCGTCCCACGTGAAGGCATTCCCGGCGATGAAACATGCCAGGACATCGTCGCTACCAATCATCCCGCATGTCCCGACAATAAAGAGCGCCAGGGCAATGGCGAAAACCAGGAAGCTTTCCCGGTCGACGTACTTGTGGCTCTCGGCCCACCACAGCAATGTCTTGGCCAACCAGCCCACAACGGCGCCATAAATGACGCTGAGGATGATGGTGTAACCCCATGTCTCGCCAAACCACAAACCCATGGCCAGACCCGCGCCGCCAGACACCTGATGGCCGCCGTCGCCGACATACTTGATCAGGTACAGCGCGAAGAACAGGAACGGATACCCGAGGCCGTCGTTGGCGCCCGACTCACTGATGATGAGGTTCTGCAGCTCCCTGGGGATGTTGTGGTCGGCGAAGCGTCCCTTGACGATGACGTTGGACAGCACCGGGTCGGTGGGCGTCACGCAGGCGCCAATGGCCAGGGCATGCAGAAACGGCAGGCGCGGCGTCAATGCCCAGACGAGGAGGCTCGTCGCGAGCCACATACAGGTCATGACAGGTCCCACGAGCAGGGCCATGGGCTTCCACTGCGTGCGGAGGTATCTGCTGGGTAATTGGACACCTGCGAGGACGAGCTGAACGCCGAGAACGAGGCGGGAAAAGGCGAGGGTGACGGCCTCGACATTGGCCGGGGTACCCGCGTAATCGAGCGGTCTGATGAGGTTTGCCGCCGAGGGGGAGAAGGCGACGCCCGCCAAGAGGGATATCACTGCGGAGGTGCGTCAGCCGCTTGTGCATTATTAGGGGCAGAGGAGACGGGAGGGCGGGGCTATCGGCACGTCACATTCGTTCTAGACCTCTCACCGTTGCGGGGGTTCCGGGAGCTCGCAAGCACTTACAGGCTTCGGACAGGTAGTACGTCTCTTTGCATAGGAACGACACCAACCCAAACAACGAGATCCAGCCGCCCAGCAGGCCGACCACGATGTTGAAATTTGTGAGCGCGAGGCTGGGCATTGCTGCAACTCTTGTCTTGCTTGGGGAAGAAGGGAAAGCAACTGTGACTTGCGACTCAAGCTTTTGCCAAGGGACCAGATCGGCCAAGGCTCTTCGCAGACCGTCTGTTTTTAAATCTATCAAGTCTCTGCGATCTCGATACGGGATGATCCAATGAATGGCTGCGGTTGCGACTCGCGCCGCCCCCACTGCCAAGTGTAGCTAAAGGTCGCTGATTTGTCGATCTCCTAGCCCGGAGCCGATGGTCAAACGGCTGATAACCAGTGGTTGATAACAAAATAGGATGGATTCCCTTTTCCCCCCTTCTGTCTATGGCAGTGGGGAGGGCCTGGGTAACAAACAGCGAAAAGTACGTGTTACTAAATCTCGTGGGAAATCACGGCGAAGAGTTAGAGTTAGAGTTAGGACGCCTGCGTAGCTAGACTACCATGGGAGAGCGTTGTGGCGGATGCGCTTTTTTTTTTTCTTTTCACATTGATAACGTTTTCGGATTTTGTCTCTGGGGGATACTCTTGGTCTTCTGGGGATCGTGTGACAAGAGATGGCGGTCTGCGAGTGATTTGACCGGAGCAAGGTGCGGCAGGAGGGAGCCGTCCAATCGAAGGCGACGGCAACGTTCCAGATCTGGCGTGTAGATGCGGGAAACGTGTGAATGTAGATGGCGGTTTTGGAGGCGGTGGTGGTGGTAAGGCAAGGGTCGGGGAAAGGGAGATCAATGTAAGGGAGGAAGCAGAAGAAGAAAAGAAGGAGAGGTCCAGAGGAAAGCGTGATGTGGTGGCGGGCTTACTTGCCTTAAGTAGGCTAGGCTAGCTTGGATAAGGTGAAAGAGGGGGCGGGAAAACAGAGAGGCGGGACGAACATCATCATCACCGCTGGTTTGGACGGGGGGACGTTGTCGATTCTGTATTTGTTTTTTTCGGTGTATCTTTTTGCTCCCCGTAAATCTTTGGCTGCACTCAATGGCTGATGGATGGATGGATACATAGGGTTAGGGTGACTTGGAATCAGCCGGGGCCCTCCCAATCCGCGGAGGCTGTGTGTGCGTGTATGTTCAGGGTGGCCGCGAGTGACGTTTATTCTTTCAAGTTCTGACTCGTGTGTGGTTTTGGGTCGACGGAGGTAGTGGGGCCGCCTATATGATCTGTCTGCCTAGTTGCCGGAGCCCCAAAATTGGACTGTTAAGCATATACTTTATTCAATAGCGCCCTCTCTTTCTCATGCTCCTCTAACGTAGGTATTTGGCAAGCGTCACTCTCAACCCAGTCATCCACGCCCGCCTGCGTGTTTTGTACACCGACAGACCTTGCCACGGTCATCGTAAGGGATAAGGGCCGTCACTTTGGGTTTCGACCCCCCCCCCCCAAGGCGTGGACAAGAAAGATAGAGAGAGAGAGAGAGTTTAGGATCCCGAGACGGACCTGGCCCCCACAGATAATGTAGCTCGGCGGAAGTGGAAACCTTTGTACAGCCGCCAGTAAGATAGACAACGCTCGAAAAGAAAAAGAAGAAGGACAAGAACAAACAAAGAAAGACTAGAGGGTCCCTACCAAGCAGGGGGGGGGAACAAAGGAAGCACCCGGTCAACGGGAGGCACACACACAACCCCACGAAACTGATAAAGAAGACCCAGCCTGTTTTGCCCTGTACCGGACAGGACAGGAAGAGAGTGGAGATGGGCATGCGGTGCTGGTTGACAGATTCCAGTGTTCTTTTCCTGCCATGAGCGAGGGCGAATTTGATGAGCTAGGGGATATCTCCATGGAAAGATTACATACAATCACAACCCCGAACAGAAGCTGAGACCAACCGACTGGAAATCGCAGAACAAGAGACTCATCCGCTTCAGCTCCCCCGTCGACCTTCCCCCGTGCTGCAGCAAGCAATGACCCGAGTCTTCCCGTCGAGTGGTTCATGGAAGAACAAAAATGACAACGATGCCCGAGAATTCAGAATGACTTTAACGAGAAGGGGATATAAGACGCAAAGCAATACAGCCACATCCATAACCGAAGAAACGGTTCAGCAAACGCTGGAAAACTGCCCGCCCCATCGATACAACAACCCTCGAGATGTGAACTCCTCCAAAGGCGATCAATCCACAGCATATGTCCACCACTTGTCCTTCCCCGCAAGGTATGTAGGTAGGTTTGTTCCTAATGATCCTCGTTTCCTTACTGCAGCTCGACAACGCAGTGTGTCCGATCTCCATCCGTCACCACTTCCTGCCTCTCGTCACATCTCGTCTACTTTTCCAAACACCAGCTCCGACATACAAGTGTCGCATAACGTCTATCAACGTCCTCGGTACCGTTCCTCAGGACTAGGGTCCGCGACCATCACTTCAGCTTCTTGCGCCCCTTGGCTGGCAACCCCAATCTCGCCCCAGCAACGGCGAGCTTGTCCGCTGCCACGTTGCCCGGGTCGTTGTTGTGTCCCTTGACCCAGTCAAAGTCAGTCGTCGCTCCCGCCGCGTCGCGCTTGGCAACCTCCTCTCGCACCGCCTGGATCAAGTCTTTGTTCTTGACCTCGCTGTTTGTCGACGTCTTCCATCCTAGCCTTTGCCAGTCCTTATACCAATCTCTCACGCACTTGATCGAGTACTTGCTGTCTGATAGGATCATCAGAGACTGCGTCAGTGGGCTCAACTGTAGGGCCCGTAGAATGGCGGTGAGTTCTGCGCGCTGGTTTGTTTGCAGTTTACCTTCGAGACGTTCAGAGACATTTCTGGCGCCGGTCGTGTTAGTTTCTTCTGTGCCTTGCTTGCGTGGGGGAAGGACGCAGGGGACAGAGGCTTGTGGAACTGTCATTTGAGGGGTCTGAACCATAGCGTCAAGGAAGGACAACGTACCTCGGGTCATTGGGTCCGAAGTAGACGCCTACGCCCGCTACGGAGCCCGGAGTACCGTTACCCAGACTGCTTCCGTCTGTGTAAACCTTGGGAGTGTCCTCGGTGGGAGTGTCCTTGGTGGGAGCGTCCTTGGTGGAAGTGTCATCTGACTCCACAGAGAGGTCGTCCGAATCGTCGTCTGACTTCTCGTCATTGGAAAACGTTTTCGTAGACGGCGGCACAGCGATCCCGTCCCTCTTGGCCGCCTTCTCCGCGTCGGCAATCGCCTGGTCGTCACCCCATTCACGGATGAAATCCAGCGCGTCCTCGTACGTGTCGAACTTCTTGTATTTGGGCCCCTTGGTCCCCGCGATCGCCATCGACGCCGTCCCCCAGTCCGAGAAGATACCCGTGAAAATGCCGCGAGCAACAGCGTAGAACCGCTGCGGCTTCTCCTCACCCTCTTCGCTGGGTATTTTCCTACCATCCACAAATGCCTGTGCGTCCTCTCGGGATAGGAAGGACTTGTCTACAGAAGCAGACGGTACATTCAGCCAAAGTGACTTGTGGTCAAGGCAGACAAGAGGAGGAAAAGTGTTCCGCCGGTGGACATGGGCTTCAAAACTCACATTGTGCTCCGCGAAAGCCGGCAGTCTGCTTTTGGCACTCGGCCCAGGTCAGGTAGATACCCGGACGCGCTCCAGTGCGCACGGCATAGTACTTTTGCAAGTCCTTGTCTGTCTTGCGCTTCTTCGCGCTCGACGTGCTCGAGGACGGTGCTCCTCTCTTGTTGGCCGGCATGGCGTAAAGGTCGTTGAGGATGGTGGGAAAAAGCTGGATTGTACGATCGCGGCCGTCCGGTCTGCCCTGCCAGTACGCGGCGGTTCGTCTTCTTATAAGTGTCGGAGGTGAGGGGAGGCGGCTTGCAGTAGAAGCTCGAGCTCGGGGGTTGAGGAGGTCAGCAGCTTTTGTCCAAAGAGCTTGAGCTTGCAAACGCATGCGTCAGAATCGTTGCAAAGCCACCTGGTAGGAGTCGCTAGGTGATAGAGGGAGTCAAAGGCTCATGTTGCAGCCGTTTACTAAAGGTTTGTCGTCGGAGGCTGCGGGTTCGGTGCCTGTTTCTCAGCGACTGCCTTTGTTCGCGGGCGCATGCCGAAACATGTAACGGGGGAAAAGAATGAAGGCTGCGGCAAGGGCCGGTGACGAGGGACCACTTCAATGGGGTGCGGTTCCTCTTTGCGGTGCCGCTCATTCCACATTGGATGGGGCGTGACCGATAAGATAAGGCGCCTGTCTGCCTCTCTGGCTTCCCCGCAGGCAGCACGACCACTCTGCCACTGCAGAGCTTTCCGACCCTAATTATTAGCGCGGCTTGCTCTGCTCGCCTTGTCACTAGCCCAACGTCTGTTCTTCGCCTTGTCCGATGTTTCGATTGTGGATGTGGGCACTACAGTATTCATGCAGAATCACCCCTTTGGTGTGCACGTGCTACCACAACCCTCGGCATACATGCTTTGGGAGTAATCTTGATTGTTTATTGCTAAGGATGCTGCTGCCTTTTCCACATAAGACAGCATGGGTATAATTTCTGCCACATCACCCGGCACCACCACGGCCGTAATGCCCTCGACACTTTCTCTCTCAATGCCAGATATCCGAATAGAGCTGAGAGGACTATCTAACCCCTCTGCTGGCCCTCTAAACCAACGCCTCAACCAACCTCTTTCGGCCAAACGCGTTATCAGACCGAGGTTGAGAAAGGGTTGGCATAGAGTTTTGGCGTAAAGGGCTATCGATACTAATGTACCGAGGCTGCCGTTAGCTTCCATCATTTCTGGCAACCCGCTACACAAAGACTGTTCTGGCCTAGGCTGATTCCCTGGCCATAAGCACCTAGGTATCGTCGTAAAGTCCCATGGGGACTAAGCATGGACTCTGTGATCAACCGGCGGCAAGGGTCCCACACAGTCGCTTGACTCCCACTCCCATGCCAACAAGCTCCAGTTGAGCTCGCGTCTCCAGAAGAGGCCGAGTCCCTCTCCGCCGCCACAGTTGGCCAGTTCGGGATGATCGTGGCCTCGGTCCTCTGAGCACATGCCCCCGGTAAGCGGCATCCGCTGCGCGAAGACGACTTTGCCCATTCGGGAATGCAGTATTCCCATCGAGCACTGGACGCAAGGCTCGTGGGTCAGGTACATTTCCATGCCGTGGCACAGGTAGCCGTCCGTATTGGGGTGCTCATCGTTATATACCGTGAGCTCATCTTCGACGAGTGGGAGGTCTTGAAACATGTCGTACTCGAGGATGGGAGGCGAGTGGGAGTGTCCGGCCGCCCGTCTCTCGTGTCGGACAAGCTTCTGTGCGACCATGCTGATAGCTCTGAGCGCGCAGTGAGCCATGGGGTTGCCGGTACCGCTGCGACTGGGTTCCTGGTGCCAGCGAGCATCTCCGGCGACTGCTACGAGCGTCGATTTGCCTCCCTCGCGCTGCACAATGACAGCGCCCATGGCCTCGCCGACACCCGCCTTCCTGGCCTGGAGAGCGACGCGGTGGGCCAACGTCATCCACAGGGACGTCTCGTCCTTGATGGTCTCTGTTGAACGGCTAACCATGCTAGGGTGTGGTCCCAAAGGATTGTTCTTCCGGTACACCGTGGGCCAGAACTGCGATGTCCACATGGCCGCCTGTATCTGGGAAGTGGGGGGCACCGCGGGGATTGGGATCTTGGTAAGGAAGAGATTCTCCCCCATGCCTTCAATGGCGGACAATTTGACAGTCAAGTCATGTCGGTCAAAGTCTTTCTCTTCGCCAAGCATGATGTAGATCCAGGTCGACTTTCCGGTGTGGACCTGGCGGCCCTCCGGAGAGTCGTTCATGAACTGCGTCTTGAGGTGAGCTGGGATATCGGCTGGCTTTGCGCATCGGCGTAAATGAGGCAGGTTGTTAGCCACGCCCTCAGGGAGCATCGAGCGGATCAAGCTGGGTCTAGGTTAGCACGCAGTTCGCAATCGTGTAGTCGTCAAACTTACTTGACGACATTGTTAGTGGACGTAGAGGGCGCTCGGGTGATCAAGGCCTGCACGATGGTATGGTCCTGTCGGATCTCAAGCGTCGTTTTCAAGGGGATCAAGACCCCTCGGCCCAGCTGCTGGGGGATAAGATTGTCGGTGAGGACATGGGGCTGGATAACATCGGGTCCAGTGTGCTCGCTCTTCTCAACGGACTGATCGTCAGGTCTCCCCAAGCCCTCTTTGGGATGCGTAGGGTGCTCAGTTGCCAGCATTATGATGACTGGGTTCGTACAACCCCTGGTTGAAGCTTCGAAGGTGGGTGGGTAAAAGAAACAGAGCTTGCACGTGTCAGTGGAGGGCCGCGGAGAAGAATACCATGCCTTATCGCCGTGAAGTGACTCACTGTGACAGAGAGACAAGTTTAGTCTGCCAGGTCTTCAGGCTCACAATAGCCAACAGGAGACAAGACGGCTTGTTGTGCCGGCGGAGCTTGCCTTCAACGATGTTTGGTTTCGAATGATGGCAAGGTTTGCCTGTCCTCTGCTTGAGGGGAGCAGCCGGTTATCTGTCTCGAATTGCGGCGACTCAGGTTGGAAACCGATCAGAGGTCAGCAAAAGATGAAATCTCGCCAACACGCGATGGATCTTATTGTGTTTTAGTGTCGTTGGACAAGATGAGTGCCGGAAGTAACGTGTACTTTGGAAGAACGGTCAAGAAACCAGACTGATGACCAGGACTGGGTACGGGAGATTCCACTCAAAGCAGGTCTCGGTGCAACTGGCCGTTGGTGTCAGTGACAACACGTCGTTCTTGCTTCGTGGATCCTTGGGCTTGGTCCGCGTCAACGTGCTTTCTCCTGGTGGCGCAGAAATCTAATAATTCGGCGTGGAGATGCCCGCAAGCGCAATCGCAAAGAAGCTGGAGAGGCCTTAGATAGCAGAATAGGTGCGATTGCCTGGTGTGCTCTTGGGATGAGTAGACGGTACCGTCCTCAAGTACCTACTAGAAAGGCTCTCCCTACCAAGAAGCCACTAAAAGCAGCCTGGCGATGATAACTGGCCGGGCAGGCAGGCACACCGGCAGGTAGGTGGTCCCGTATGATGATGTCGTCGGGGCAAAGCACAAGGATGGAAGGTACGCTCACCCTCGACACTTGCTCCCAGCTTTTTGCTGTGCACTTGCAACCACTTGCAACTCTGCCCTCCTTTGTTTCTGCCTCTCAGTCCTTTGGTTCTGGCCTTGGGCTACTTGGGCCAAGAACGACACTCGATCACTCTCTTTTCGAGACTGGTGATCCACAAGGCCTTGCTTGTTCTGTTCAGGAGTTGAGTTTGGGACTTGCTCAGAGATGCTTGCCAAGAAATCTGCTGACGCAGGTATAATTGGAACTGATGGCGGGCGGGTCTGGCAGTCTGGTAGGTCGAAGAGTCTCAGTCTTGGTCTCAGTGCTGATGTCGGTCTCAGCACCGGCCTCCCATCTATAGTTGGCTCTTTAGGGTGGACGAATGTAACCCAGGAGCTTGGAGATCAACGTCGTTGTGCCAGGTTCTGAAACGACAGGGCCCAGTTCGGAGCCAAACAAAGAAACAATGAAGAGCGGATGAGGTCCTATCGGATCAGTTGGCGTTGTTCCTCAGCGGACAGTGCATCTGAAGGCCAAGCGTTTCTGAAAGCGGTCCGAACTGTGGATATTGAACCGACGGGACGGGTGTGAAGCATCAGAAAATTTGATTGCTTTGACGATCCAGACTCTGGCCCAGGCACAAGCACGGAAGGTCCGTCCCTGCATCGAATCGAATCGCAGAGCAGAGCCGCCGGCGGGGCGCTCGGGGTGCTCCTGGCCGGCCTCGACAGGCTGCAGCGTGTCCTATCGATAGCGATATGCGCTGAAGCACCTCGGTACAGCCAGTCCGCGTCCGCCAGTGACCGCCCACCTCACTTTCCAGTCTGGAAATGGGAGGAGAGCAGAAAGTGGGCCGGTCTTTCCTCCCGCAGATGGAACTACGCCTGGGTGATTCTGCGGCCCTCGCCAGTATTTCTTTTCTTTCTGTTTTTGGAACCCACACGACTTTGCCGTGGAGACGGCGTATTTATTCGTAGTGCAGGTGAAGCTTGTCCTCCCCCAATTGAGAGAGGCGGGGATGGATGCTGACAAAAGAAAAAAACAACAACGCACTCACTGCTGGAGAAGGGGCCGGAGAGGGGGGAGACAGATGAGGAACGCGAGAGGCAACGAGGGAACCCAGCCCATCGAGATGGACAACCAAGACAGTCCTCATCTCACCAAAAATTCACTCGCCGAGCGTCACCTCGATGGTTGGAGACAGGGCTTTGGCGTCTGCACATTCCTGATCTTGGTTGGGCTTCTGTCCTTCAACAACAGCTTGCTTCCAAACCTTGAGGCTCGCTTGGCCGTTCGCGGCTGTCTCACGACATATCGCAAAGAGTTAAGGATGCAGTGTTTCATTGGCCGCCCACTGTTGATGGCAGAAACACTGACAAAGTCTTGCAGCCCATATCAGACACTCTTTCTCCGAACATACCGCGGCTTATAAATCATCAAACAGCAACTTTGACCCCACGTGTGGAAGCCCCATCAACCACTGTTCAATCTCCGATGGCGGCACGCCATACTACTCGGCCCCCACCGGCCGCGACGATACAACGACCTGGGACTGCAAGTCATACACGTCGCTAAACGCTCTTACCTACCCTCCACCACACCACGCCGGACATCGGCCGTATCCCCCCTTGGCCCCCAGATGACCTCTAGCGTTTGCAGATCCACCAGATGCTCTCTGCCTGTGATCTTGGCGCTGTCGCTGTCACTATCACTGCGCCAGCGGTCCCCTAACTGTCACTGGAAGATTGAGGGCCGATCGTCAGTGTCCATCCAGCAAGCAACGGCAAACTCTGCCGTGGACCCCTCATGGTGCATGGAGGGCCAGCACCATTACTAGCACACCAGGTGCACTAGCACCTACGCAGTAATATGGAAGTTGAATAGGCCCTCATTCACTAGTCACGTCCAACTTTCGACACGAGGGGTGGGGACCAATTAGGCAGTGGAGTGGCGACGCGAGGGCGGCGGCGGCAACATCCAGCATGAGAAGCACAGCGCAGATGAGGGCCGCGCCGCCGGCGTTTGGAACATCAACTCAACTCCCCACATTCGTGGATTGGGGAGTTGGGAAAGCTCCGTTGTCTCTGCTGCACGC